CTCTGTGTATCTTCCACTCCATTGCCTCCATCCTGACGGTTCCCCAGCTGATCCCCTCCACTATTTCAACTCTGATGAAACCCTGCAAGGCCTGGCCAGGCTCCACTTATCCCCGGCCTCTCATGGGTATCCCAGACCATTGATTTCTCTTCTGGCCTCCTAAACCAGCAAAATAGAGTGCTAAGATAATCAATAGCAGTTAGAAAACAATGAATAAGCTGCTATGGTCACCCTTAGTGTTACCTCTATGTTATGGCTGTGGATGTCATTCTGGAACAAAAATTAAAGGTATTTATACTACTGTATGTTTACACTTCAAAATCAAAATCAAAATTCAAAATCCTGCTCAAGACATACTTACTTAAATGTTGTACCAATAGGAGAAAAAGAAGAGTATGACAGAGCTCAAAGCCGGGTCTGTTAATGAAAAAAACATGACATTTAAATGTATGTAAATACAGTCAAGATACAGCAGAAACATATATATTCACAGGGCAAATCTGCAGGAAATGGAGAGCATTTGCTTTCTCTGGCAGGGAGATAACATGCCCTTCACTGAGGGGATAAAAGAGCTGCACAAATAGATCAGCCACTGTCACCAGATCAAGTGACACAATGAGCAGGGTGAAGCTCTATAAATTACAGCCTGGCAGAATTGCAAGAAGACATTGATGGAGTGCGGACAATGTGGCAGTGCCCTCATGTTCGGGGGATGCAGAGCTTTGGGGGCTTTGATCATCTGGCAGGACAGTGGGGAGTGCAGTTAATGCCAGTCTGTTATTTGATGCCAAAACTTGCGAAGTTATAATGTGCAACAAGAAGGGCATGTATGCGTTGACCTGGAAACAGTGTTTAGGGTCAGCTTATGGCCTGCACAATAAAACTTTCTCTTTATGTGATAATGTTTTTTGGGTCTTTTTCTCTTTTGGGCTCCAGCCTGACCAAAAAAAAGACATCATATGACATCAACCAGCAAGTAAGAGTCTTTTGTAGCGGCTCTCTGAGGTGGTGCCATGCCATTGTTTCGACTACCCACTATTCCTAAATGACAATAGTTTGAAAAATATCCCATGGGCCAAAAAAATTTGCTCAGAATGCAAATTGAAAAGAAAAATTCTATTCAAAATTCTTTGCCATGCTAGCAGCATGGCTCTAGGGATAGCAATATCTGTAGGTCAGTCCACTTTGCTCCAGACAAACAATGTATCTCAAACAACGATTAAATGGATTGCCATAATATTTGGTACAGACATTCATGGTCCGCAGAGGAGGAATCCTACTGATTTCTGTGATCCCTAACATTTCCTCTAGCGCCAACAACAGGTTGACATTTTTGACTATTTCTTCAGTATTGGCATGCTAACACACTTATCTAAGATGGTGATTATTGTAAACATAATACCAGCTTAAAATCAGCATGTTAGCATACTGACTTCAAAGCACTGCTGCCTAAATGCAGTCTCAAAGCGCCGCTAGCATGACTACACACTCCTTATAATTTAGTTTAATATACTTGCTTTTATGTGATATCTTTTATTTTTGATATCTTCTGTTACATCCTATACCCTCTTATTGTGTGCCATCTTCTTGTTTTTGTATCTTCAGTGACTCAATTAACATTTTATCTCTTTTTTGATTATCAAAGCACTTTAATTATGTGCTGTGGCAGTGAATCCAAAGGCCTGGCAATCAGATCACATCTGCCATATGTGTCCAGACATAATCATGCTGTTTCTTGGAAGATCCCTTGGTTAGTCATTACCTTCTAATTCTGGTCATATTCCAGATGAAACAAACCAGAAACAGGCAAATCATTAATTATTAACAAACAACTTTATACACCATTGGGATTATTGGGTTAGGTTGATTCTGTGTGAGTGCAATTTTAAAAAGAACTGAGAATATTGACATTTCCCAAATGTATGTTTGTCATCCTCAAAAGAGCACCACACTGTGTTTGTGTGTTTCTCTTCGGTCCCTGCACAACACTAATCAGAGGAATGCTGATAATTGCCTGGCCACATGGCTGTCCTTCTAGTCTGAGAGAGGAAGCTGAAACAGGAGAAGGGTGCTGAGAGGTGCGCCAGCATCCGGCCTCCAGCCACCTCTCCTGTCATCTGTGCTATGACAGCCATGGCATCCAGTGTGTGGCCAGTGGATGAAAAAAGCTGGATGCTCACAGCTCAGCCGCACAAACTACTCTCTCCACTCCTGATCAGTCTTGATTTGAATACAATGTGGATAAACAAAAGAGCAGGAGCGTTGACATTCCTTCTGTTTTGACATTCGTCCAAATCATCTGCACAGATATGAAGAGTAAGAAGTGGAGATGCAGAGTGAGGAGCTCTACATCACATGCACAGGCTGGAGACTAATCTTCACAGCATTGTTTGCACAGGCCACTGTTCTGGCATTGTATGTAAATGTATAATTCATCGACAGACATTCTTCGTGTTTTTCTTTAAGTTTCCTTCCTCTGCATAACTTGACGTCTCTGTGAATCTTATTTCTATCTGTAAAAAGAAAAATGATCCTGTAGGTGCGTAGTTCCTCTCTTCTTATCTTCCATCATTTCTGCACATATTGTGAGATCAGTCTCATATAGCGCTGTTAATGTGATTACCAGCACATTTCTGCACACCCTGTGCTATGTAGAGAGTTGTATTCTTTTTCATATATTGGATTTTTCATCCGCTTACATTCCTGTCTTTGCTATTTAATACATTCAGAATGCTCTACTTTTGTCATGTCTTTCTGTGATGTTACGTTGCTCTCATGCTTAAATCACTCTTTCTGATTCAGATGTTTATTTAGTCTCCATTGCTCTACAGTCTTTATGTAGCCTATCGCTTTTTGTTGTGCTAATAGCCCAACAGGGATCAATAAAAACTTCAATCTGAATTGCATTGCAGGTGCACTCTCTTGCTTCACATTCATGCCCTGAGGCCATCACTGCAGTCTTCTATACTCTTACTCAGCAGCTCCACAAGGTAAGTTTGGGTTTCGCTCATAAGCACCATGACAATGACAGATAAACATTCTTGGTCAAACTATCTCAGCCAGTCAGCACAATCTATAGGCTACATAATGTACTGGCACCCGGTAAAGATGACGCAAAGGCATCTTGCACATACTGCAATACCCCACATCCTTTCCATTCCCATTACCGGGCAATCATTTAATTTGATGATTATGAGACTAACCAGAGCTGTCAGCACACAGCGTCCTCATTTTATTCAGAAGCAATAAAAGATAAACCCATCTTCAGTTAGAACATATACTGGCTCAGTCATGCCAATCATGGTCTTAGTGAGATGATAAGCAGAGCTGTGCATTTGCAGGATGAATATGTTAGAAATGCTAAAGCATATTTTAACACATATTTGCCTCTCTTGGTGCATACTGTTCATTCGTGTACATTCAGATAATACAAGCTTTGTTTTCAAAGCATAAAAACAATTATCTGTTGTATTATTATTGTACTATATATGTACATATGTACTATTACTATTACTGCTTACAATAAAAAGCATGGTGATGTGTAACATATGTAAACTGCATGGAAGTAGCAAAAACAGAAGTTGCAGTGTTTACTTTCGTCAAAAGGAACAATGGCAGTAGGGTATTTGTAACTGGAAATTTCTTTATTAGATGGATAAAAGAGAACAAATTGGCCTTTCATTGTAGAAAGTGGTAGTTGGAGGAGGGACAACTGGTAAGCTGATGGAGAAGGTGGAGGAATAAGAAGCAGCCAAATTGGACCAACAACAGTTTTTGTAGCTTTGTAGTGGATGTACATATACAGTTTTGGATAGATGAGAGTTAAGATATGTAAACATTTTACAATGAATCTTGAATGAGGCTTTGTCATTCTGTAGGTTTACTGAAAAAAACAGTCAATAGATGCTATTAAAAACTACTTTTACTCCTAAATTAGACATACTGTCCAACATCCTTTTCTTTCTTCTTCCAAATAATACTCACAAAATTCAATTTCACTGAGTCTGAATACCACAGAGCCCTATGACAGCTAAATAAAGAGGCAAATCAAAAGACAGGGCTCTTTTTGTTAGTATATGAGAGGAACAGAATTACAGCTGTGCAGTGGTTACATTTTTAAACATAACACATAACCCGGCAGCACCATTAAATCCTACTCTACCAAAAACCTCTCGAGTATCCAGTGAATCTTCCACAAAAATAAGCAGATAACAGGCATATTTGTTGTTGCAGGAGCTGCAGCATTTCCTCCAAAAACCCAATGTTTGACTCATGCAAATGTAAGGTTCAGAGTTCTGGTAAAACAAATAAAATGCATCACTGAACAAGAACAAGCAACCATTAATTCAGTTACATTTGATTATACTTTTTGGAAATTATACCAGAACATATGCGTAATATATATAGTATATAGTCTTTAATTCAATAGACGTATCAAACTATAGTTTTTAGACTAATTTCAGCTCATATGATAAAGTCAAATGAGGGCACAATAAGAGTTTCAGTGGGTTTATGAGTCATAAAGTCAGACCACAGCTGACATATTTTGGAGCCTGAATAATAGTGAAGAAAAGTATGTCTCAGTGTTATGAACTTATTTGGTTTGTTCAATCATTAATTAACAATCCCTATGGTACTCAGGTAGGATATTTACATGCAGAGAGGAACTTGGGCTGGGTGATAATACTGGCTGTACACATATGCTAAATGAATCAACATGTTTAAATAAAAGCATGCTTGCTCTCCCATACAGCCCAATTGTGTTCTTTAATTTATTATCCGATGTGGCTGCAGCGTGTCTTTTTCTATCTTTTTACTGTGCACAACGAGCCTTTATGGGTGGCAAGCGGAAGAGGTGAAGAACTGGGGTGAGGGGGGAGGGAAAGAGAGACATAGAGGAGAGGAGGAGAAGAGGAGAGAGTGTGTGTGTAACGCGTGTGTGACTGACTGAGAGGAGAGAGGAGAGAGGAGAGAGAGAGAGGAAGAGAGACGAGAGGAAGAGTGCAGGGTGCGCTCCAATCCACATCCTCAGTACAACCGGACTGTCATCTTTGGAGCGGCTCCCCTGCATCTTCACCAGCCCTCCGCTCTGCTCCAGTTCCGTTTTCATCGGCTTTTACACTTTGCGGATTATAGCCATGGATGCTGATCTAAAGACCCACCAACCGAGCCGTCAGCTTTTCCCACTTGCTTAAAAAAAAACAAAACAAAACAAATTCTCTTAAAGCTCGTCCGGCTGAAGTCAGAATAATGATGGAGTACTGGAGGCAATGCGCGCTGTGGTTAATTAATTGCAAGGTGCTTCCAGCTAACCACCGGGTTACATGGGAGTCTGCACAGGTATTCGACCTGGCCCAAACGCTCCGGGATGGAGTCCTCCTGTGCCATCTGCTCAACAACCTGAGACCCCAGTCCATCAACCTAAAGGAAATCAACCTCCGACCGCAAATGTCTCAGGTAAGAATCGACTGTAAGCGTTCTCCAATGACCGCTCCTCGCTCCGTCGCCAAACTATAACTTAAGCCCCGTTAGAGAGAGCGCAACCAGACTCTGTAAGAATTATGCTAGTTTAAAGGTCCCTTGACCCTCGGCAAAAAGAGTATACCTTTAAGTACACGACTGAAGTTTATTCTGAAAGGAAATCGTCATTTATCTAATTCGGCTCAATACAATCCAGAAATTAGCACTTGGTTTCAGGAAAACGTTAACTTTTTTTTAAATCTTGGGGACACCGCTCGCTACCGCCCCCGCAGTTTATTGTGGTGGCGGAAAACGTTACAGATAGGAAGTCAACAAATGATATTAGTTTGAATTGTATTCACTGTAGTTCATGCTTGTGTGTGGGGTGTATGCCGAAGAAAAGGGGTGATCCTTGCCACTGCATAGAGATTTTAATGTTTGCTTTGTATCGTGAGTTTATTTGACAGTGAGCAAGGAAACACTAAATTGACCAAAAATTAGACGGAATTTGGTAGCCATCGAATTGGGGCAACGTAGGGCTACATAAAAGTCATACTCTGAGCGAAAATGAGGGGGGAAATACTTTCTATGATTCTTTTACTTGTACTTTGTACTATAAGTTACTTACAGTGACTGTTACTTACAGACAGTATTGGTCAACACTCAACCATTATGTACAAAGAGCTCCTCAATCTGCTCTCTATAGGTGATGTAGGTACACAGAGGATAAAGGTTAAGTGGTGATGAGGCTTTGTTGTGGGCTATCCCTAATAGAGAAGTGGATTTATCTCATAGCATTAACAACATGTACAAACACAAGTATTATAATAGCTTTTTTATTGAGAATCTAAACAAATAAGTTATTGGTTTGGCTTCCCTATATGAAGGAACAAAGGCAATCAAAATATCCTTATTGGTTGGTTTGATTTGTTTGATTTGTTAGTTTTGTTTCATGTTATATTTAGCAATATATCTAAAATAATTAACAAATTTAACTAATAATGTACCACAAACAACTCAGTCTTTATTTTGCAAGAAATGCCATATAGATAGATAGATAGATAGATAGACAGAGAGCTGTGTCTACGTGGCTCCTGTTTGTCAGATACCATCTGCTTCAATAACAGGACAGCCGGAGCCACGACCAGATTAATATTCGCCTTCATAACAGTGAATCTGTGTGTTTGGCTCAGTGACAACACACAGTGAGGTAGACACTCACCTACTGAGCCTGCAGACCTGCTGCAGAAAAATTAGACTGTACCAATAACACACCCAAACACACACTATAGTATATCACTCCATGATGGATGCCCTAATGCTCTCATCTGATGCAAAACAGGTGATTAAGGTTTGAATATCAGTACTATGGATGTACTGTGCAACTGATGGAGAGGGGGATTAGGCTCGTTTCCTGGAAAATAGCACTCCAAACTCAATGTCACAGTGGGGCGGTCAATATGATATGCAGTTACAGTTCTTTCCCAATCCAATTGGGTATCCACTGTTCAATGTGAGCGCACAGGTGAAGTGGACAATTTAAAAAAAGTAGAGGATTTTAATGTCATCAGTGGGAACAGAAATCTGTCTATGGATCAGTTTACTCTGAGATTTGAGAGAAAACTAGATTGGGAGTGTAAGAGGAGAATCTTATTGGTCCATTTACTGTTAGAAGTCAAGCTAGCACCAATACAATTATTGATAGAGAGACATCAATAAGTCAGTGTTTGCTGACAGATTTGCCATGTGTGGAGAGGTTGTGAACCACACTTATGCTCAGTGCCTGGCCTGGCCTGGCCTGGCCCAGGCTGGGTTATTTATAGGCAGAGTTTGTTTTATGCATGGGTGGGTGGCTTACTCACATCGAGGCAGTGAAGAATCTACAATCACAGGTGAATTAGCATTAGTAGTAGGCTTAGGCACCATACATCTCTAAAGCTCATGTCCACACAAATGTGAGCAAACACTGCACATTACACCTGCTGCGAAAACCTTGTTATCAAATGATTGTCTTTGAAAGTTACATTTTTTTATGTGGTGTTTGTTTCTTTGCCCAATTGCTCATTAAAATAAAATACCGTAGTGCGTCTTTTGTATATTACTAAAAACCCAGAAAACCCCACATCACTTCCTGTTCACCGTAGGATTTTTGCTGGGAAAAACCTACCAGCTTCTAACACTCTCATAACATGCTTATAGGTTATAGGTTACTGATGTGATTAACAGTGGCAAAATGTACATTTTGTGAACGATTATTTCTAATATTGGTGTGGGCATATGTATGTCAGTAGATCATGACTCGTGGCTTCCCCTTTCACACACATTCTCACCTCTTGATGCTGGATACCAACTCCCTCTATGAGCATATCACGTTCACCTAAAAAAGGGTGTCACACCCCCCCAGCAACTTTCCTCCCTCCCTCTGTCTCCTCAAAGTTAAATTTACATAACTGAGGGTGGAGTTGCTTCCCTTTCGGCTTGCATAATTCATGAGGGCCGTGGCAGCTACTATATCATTGGCTAGTAATAACACATGGGACGCCACTGTGGCCTCACCCATGGGATCCCATGCGATGGAAAGACAAAGGCAGTGAAGGGACAGGGCTACAAAGAGCCTGTCTGGCCCCCATAGATGCATCTCTGAGGACATAAAGGGCCCTGAAGGGCTAGCCCACTGTGGTGGTGTTAGCTGCGTTGTTAAGGCACAATGAATGAGCAGCTCTGGAGGGCTCACATGTGTGATGTTCGCTTCTCGTTCTGCAACATTAATTGTGTTTGTGGATATGTGTATGGGGCTATACATAGTGAGTCTGTGCTCATGGAAGGGCAATAAAGAGCCAGCAAACTACTTGAAAACAGGAAAAAGAAATGGAATCAATGGGATCAGTCTGTTTAATGATTTAATGAGTTGATCTGAGCTGTAGCCTCTCTTACAGTGAGAAATGAAGAATGACGCATGGGTTGTGTTTGTGGACTGCAAGGAATTGTGCAATTTACAAGATTTGCAATAACTGTAAAATGAAGAGCTCAAAGTTACAGTTAAGGGCTGGAGGTCAGTGTAAAGCATCATTTTGACCTCTTTGATCATTGTTTTACAGGGCTGTAATGAACCAATTACATAGTCTAGACACAGCACTACCACAGCAACTGCTGCATTTTGCTTTCCTACCAGAGGAAACACCACATAATCACTAGTTGTTTTTTGTCTCACTCAGTGAAAATCCGCGGTTTAGCATTAAGAGGAACTATGGATCGCTTGTCATGGTGCAACGAACCGGCCATGTGGTCAAACAGGCAACATGCAGTCTTTCCATCACTCAGTTTCTTGAAATATTTGTCAGTTTCACTGACAAGACTACAAATATACACCGCTTCTAGTTAGTAGCGAGGACATTAACCTCCTTGTATGTGTGTTTTTTTTGTGTGCTAAAATCAAACTAGCATGAGCCAGCTCTTGATGCAACAGCTGCTTAAATACATAAAAGTGAGGTTGTGTTGGGGTTCCAAAGTATCTCATCATATAATTTGATTGAAATTGAAATGTTGCAATATGCCCTGACACCTCACACTTGTTATTCCTACTGTTGCCTTGTTTGCCATGACACAGGATTATAAACCGTGGATTCAGAGTGTGAAAAATTGTTGCAAACCCACCAGCGCCTGAAAACCTTTCACACAGACCAGCCATGGGCCTCAACATGCACAGGAAATCAGGAAATGGAATAGAGGAAGGAAGTGAAACTAAACATGCCCTCGATTAAGCTCACACCAAGGCACTGAGACGTCAGACACACTGAGGAGAAAAGCCGCCTTCACACAGCAAAAAAACCCAAAAAACTTTGCTCTTTATAGAGCCACTCTCAAAGACTTCAAGGCCTGTACTTCACTTTTGGAAAGTGAAAGTGAGAGGACGCATTATGAGTAAGAGTCAGGTCTAATTTTAACGAGCACCATAGAGTGTTTCAGAGAGAAACAAAGTACATCAGTACAGAGAACACTTCTCACAGATTCAACACTGACACAGAGAAGCTGTGAAGACTTAATTAACACATTCATGAATGAACAATCTGTTTATTTTAATATGACGTAGAGTACAGCAATGTGAGGCTACATATAGCTAGCGATCAGGCATAGCTTATATACAGAGAACCAGGTGTGTGCAGCAGGTATTCAGCAGGTGTGTTGTTTCAGTTGGCAAACTGAATTTGACTCTAAGAGACCTTGGCAGCCGTATTACACTTACACATACAGCACATAATAATACTATTATACATTATACATGGCGCATATATGTATATTTTATCAAGCTGTGACCAAAATTCTGTGATGTCAAACAATGAAGGGAAAAGCTGGTTTCACACAGTGAACACTCCAAACAGCAGGCTTCAAAGGCTCCAAGGCTCGCTCGTCAGTTGCAAAGACAAAAAGTTAGAGAGAGATAGCGTGGGAGAATGAGAATGACAGAAAGAGAGAATGTCTTAATTTTCCTTTAGGTTCATGCAGAATAAGACCTGTGCCTCTCATACGGGCTCAGGAATCAGGAGTTAGAACTTGCAGCTACATGACAGATTGTGATTCTGTGTAAAAACATACAATTTAGATGTTATACTGTGTACATTTTACGGGTAGAGTTAGGGTTCGGATTAGGTTTTAAAGTGTACTTACAGAGGGATAAAGCCTCTTGTGGGATTGTCAAGGTAACTGAAAGGTAAGGTACTTGGTAATAAACTATAAGGTCACAGACAACTGAAGTGATGTGGTGGGAGTGCAGTCTGTAGCACTTTCTGCAACACTGAGATTATTTCAGGTGTGTCTATTTTGCATCTAAGAAAGGATTCATCATATCATAAAGTTATAAAAAATTGGAATCTGGGAGTGAATTTGCTGCTGTTCCGCTTTCTTTGTCGTCCGTCATCTTGTGTAGAAAATGTCCCCTTTTGGGTTGTTTCTATGGGAACAGTGAGGCATGTTAAGAATCATGGGTCAGATTTCAGTGA